AGCACTCGCAACATATATTGGTCATGTTACTGAGTGAAATAAATTTGAATTTGAATTTTGTATATATATATTTTCTACATTGGAGTAAAAATTGTATTGTTATGGTATTGAATTCGAAAGACCATGCTCAAGTATGGGTTGATTGGACTCAACATTGGTTCATTTCATTTGACTTTGCTATATATATAGAAATTCCCCTATACGGACGTCTAGACGTTATTACCGCGTCATGTATTTTTTTACCACTCCTTCCTCATTTCCTTCCTGTTTACAATAGCGTCCACACGATAATCATGTGCGGACGTCCAAATGAGAGAATAACATCATAGGCTTTCAGTCCCACAACAAGAGCTCGAAATCAGCTTCTAATCCAAATTTCATAAGATTTTGCAAGGCATGAATTGAAAATCCAAAACATCATAAAAAAGGGTTTGAATAATCCAAAAAGAAAGGCATTGCATCTCATCATTTAAGCAGCAGATCTGTGATGCGCTAGCCATCCAAAATAACGAGGCAAAACAAATTAAAACAGCTAAAAAAGAAACGTCTTACAGAAGCTTCAGAATGTCAACTCCAGTACTTGAGGTGCTAAGCTGCATTGACATTCCCCCTAAGGAACACATGGGTGAGAACTGACTTTGACTCCAACGACCCCTTAAGCAGTTTCACACCCTAAGAAAGCAAAACAAAAAAACATTGTTAATGTGAACAAAAGCTAGATTACGACTTAGAGAATATATCTCAAGCTAGAACCAAATAGAATTGAAAATTCAGATTATTTAACCAAATAAAAAAAAAAAAAAAAAAAAGTTGAATTGGAACAAGACTCAAACCATGGTTCAGGACTCAAAACATGTCCATCAAATGAAAACAGGGATGGAAAGAAAACCCAATCCTAGGTTTTATTTTAGGGCTAGAAAGGGAAAACTATCTGATCAAACTATTGTTTGGAGTACTTATCGTTATGTGTTACCACTTTGAAGATGCAATTCCTATTTTGTATTTTGTCTTTCCAATCTCAAGTTCGAATCCCCCTCTCTATGTCGATCAAGAAAAAAAATTGGTATCCACGAAAGCAAAGGGTCCAAAGGGGTGCATATCCAATATAGGCACAGAAAAAACATAGAAGTACAAAGAAGGGTTGGAGATGCAAGTGGGCCAGGCAGACCATGGATCGAGCACACAGTTAATAAAAAAATTTGCCGACGTACCTCATTCATGCCTAGATCAACAACCTTCTCCTCAAGGACCCCGACATCCTTAACACTGAACCTGTTGAGCAGGCTGATACCAGAAATAGTAGACATAGGCTTCACTTCCAGATCATCCATTATCATGTATGTAACAAGGCCTTTCACATACCCTACCTTACTGGAATAAGTAGTTTGCACCGCAGCAGTCGGTGAAGCAACATAAGTAGCGGCGGTGGAGATGGAGTAATTGCAGTTAGGACATTTGGCCTTAGGGTCTTCAGCCACATAACCATGGTTTCTACTATTCGAATTCGAACACATATAGATCATCTTTCTAGCATCGGATTTGACATCGGTTAACAAACCAAGGATGTTAGGTCCAGCAGCAACAGGTTCTTTTGGTTTCAGGAGGGCGTCTTTTTTAAGATTGGGTTGCAAATATTCATCGTTGAGAGTTTCAACGCTCTCATAAAGTTTGCCTAAGCTACCAACCATGGCTTCCTTCGAGAGCAGCCTAATGATAGTGCCAGCGGGAAGAGACAGGAGAGTGAAGAGAAAATCCACAAAGTCCTTACCCGCTTCAGCGAACAGGACTTTATTGCGAGTTGTGTCAACGAGGAGCTTCAAACTAACAGTGCCAGACCTAGAGGTTGCCATCGAAAAAATGAGAAGGTAATAAGTGTCAACTTGGAGGTTGTATAAAATATATGTTTGGTTCCATGGGAGTCCAGCCAATGATGGAGCAATTACTAATCCTTAGAGTTCTCTAGAGTATTAATAGTGGTACATGAAGGTTGAAATGACTCTTCATATTCCAATGCAAAGCATTGAATTTGGTGGCCGCTGCATATCCATATATTTAAATGTGTTAAGTATGGAATATGAAGCCCTCTTACTAACGTATGTAATGCTATAATTGGTGCATTGTATGTGGTGATTGCCCTCGTACTTTTTTTTCTTTCTTTCAAGGATTGCCCTCTTACTGACGTATGTATAAAAAGGAAAGGTTTGGTAGATAGATTCTCAAATGTTTCAAATTAGGTTAACAAAAGCTATTTGGAACTTGTCGATCTCAATATGTGAATGAGTTTTAAAATGAATGAAGTTGAGATTCCACTTCAAAAGTAGTCCAATTCCTTATAGGCCCCGTTTGGTTCACGGAACGAATTTGAGGGGAAATCATTTCCCATGTCATTTCCCAATGGATAGGAAATAGAAGATTCATTTCCCACATTTGGTAATGCTGGGAAAGTAACTGAGAGATATCACTTTATTTCCTTTCCTATGTTTGTTTTGAGTATGAATGAAAAACAAAGTTTATATAAATTTTCAATTATACCCATATTAAATCAAATAAAAAAAGAAAGCATTTAATGATATATTGTAATTCTAAATTGTTAATGGGGACAAAATGGTCTTGAAAAATGTTTACTTAATATTGGCTCATTTTCCCAAACTTTCCCATGAAGAGGGAAAACAAAACTCAAATTGAGATGATGGTTTCACTTTCCCCTTTACTTTCTCATGGACCAGACAACGATTTCCAATGTCTGGATTTACCAAACATAGGAAATCAATTGATTTCCTATCCCCAAGTCTCATTTCCCATGAACCAAACAGGGTTCTTCAAAGGTTTGTTAAATTTTCGATGCGAGCCATTTCTTTACATCATTACACGCCTTAGCAGTATGACGAAATTTCAAGCCTAACACATGGATAATGCATATATTGAGTGGCGTTGAGCAGGGGCGGCCCTAGGGTGGTGCAAGTGGCGCCACCGCACAGGGCCCCCGAAAAAAAATTTCTTTATATTATATATATTAATATTATATGAATCGTATATATAGTATAGCGTTTGGATATTTGCACAATAGCGTTTTCAGGGGAGTTGGATGGAGCGCATGCCTCTTTCGTAAAAGGGCCCGAGTTTGATGCTCCTTGAGGTCGTTCTACTTACATAATTATAAAATTTAAATAAAATAAAAAAATAGAGAGCCTTTTACAAACAGGCAACGCGGAAGCTTAACCCCACCAAAGGAGGAATATATATGATATATCCCCCAAACGTTCTCAAAAATAAAATAAAAAAGGTTTTCTCCTCCAAGAAAAGTACTTTCTTCATTCAAAACACCATGAAAAAAGCTTCAT